ACCTTCTGATCGGCAAGTCCTAGGCTCTGTGGTTTAACCCACAGCGCCACCCACGTCCAAAAGGTTACAACAATGCAATTGTGCATAACCCCCAGCCATGGTCTGAGCCACAGGTCTGGCACAACACCAGAATGTTATGCACTACACATGCTTGAAATGCTTGGGGATATTGTATAGATCCATGTATGGAAATCTGTTCAAGGTGAGCCACCAAACCTTCCTTCTTTAGGGAAGTGGCCATAACTGTGTGGTAATACTATGTTCTACATCACTGGTCTTCAGGTCTGATCTAAAACAGATTGCAACAGCAGCACTACCACCATACAAATAGATAGTTAAAATTAATAAATGGGTCCACAAAATGCCTATTTGGGTTATAGGTGGGTGGGCTGAAATGATTGAAGACTACTGCTCTACATGTTTAATCATAGGCACATGGGTGTAGCCAGGGGACAACCGGGGGGGCAGCTGTAAATAAATAAAAATACTTGACTAAAAGTAGAAATTGTACAGATTTTTCTGAACAACAACTATTGTTGAGACATTTCATTCTGAATCTGCTAGACAGAGCCAGACAGAGGGTGGTGTCTAGTGGGTGTTGTCCTCCCCCCCCCCAACATAAACCCTGGCTACACCTATGCATTTCCACCTCCCACTTAAAGATCTTACATATGGCAGTTTGGAAAGACCTCTGCCAGATACTGGTGAACCATAAAGAGTACTGAAGTAGGTAAAACAAGCAATCTATTACATAGACACACAGAGAGACACACACAACAAGAGTGCAATAACAGTAATAATTTTGCATAAATTTCCACAACTGGAGGGGGAGGGGAAGGTTGAGAAGGGCAATGCTTCCTTCTTAGTCCTGCAGTTGTGGAAAATATGTTGATGTAAGACACAGGGCGGAGACAAGAATACATCAGTGTCCAACTAGAGCCAGGGGTCAGCAAACGTTTTCAGCAGTGGGCCGGTCCACTGTCCCTCAGACCTTGTGGGGGGCCAGAGTATATTTTGGGGGGGGGGATGAACAAATTCCTATGCCCCACAAATAACCCAGAAACGCATTTTAAATAAAGGCACACATTCTACTCATGTAAAAACACCAGGCAGGCCCCACAAATAACCCAGAGATGCATTTAAAATAAAAGGACACATTCTACTCATGTGAAAACATGCTGATTTCCGGACCATCCGCAGGCCAGATTAGAAGGCAATTGGGCCAGATCTGGCCCCTGAGCCTTAGTTTGCCTACCCATGAACTAGACCAACTACACTGGAGATTGGTCTATTAATGATTCCATGATTATAGAACAAAATAGTAACCACAAGCATACTTACTGTTGAGGTGGGGGGTAGTGGAAATGGTTGCAAACAATAAATATAAAGTTTAAAAAATAATGTGGCTGTTATTTTAATATTTAAAACTATCAGAATGGAGAGATTTCACAAGTAGTTTCCATCTATTATAATATTCATTTTCCAAGTATTATTTTATTGTTTTGAAACAAGTTGCCAGGATCTAGCTGCCAAAGCTGAAGAGGAGGCACAGCGATTTCTCCACGTCTATTTATGGGGAGGAAACTTGCTTTCCCCCACCCCGTTTCTATGGTTTATTCCAATTGCCTCTCATCTTGCCCCCTTGATAACATTTACTTTGCCTTTGCTTTCTTAAGCATATACAGTGCAGCTGCTTAAAGGTCTCTAAATATCTCTGTTAAACCATCTTAACTGCATGACAGATGCCCCTGTGCACCTTGGGACAAATGTATTACAAGATGTATACAAACAATGGAAGTCAAATACTTTAGAGAGCATCTTCTGGTGCAAATTTAGCTCTTCCCTCTTCCCAATTACTTATTTAAGTGGATAGGGAGTGAGAAGAGGCAGGTTGTCCCACCAATATGTAAACTTAAGACTCATGTTCACACAAACAGATTATTAAATGTAACAAGACATTAACACACCTCAGCTCCTGTATTTTTGTCATTGAAAGAGAAGTTAGTTAGCAGGAGCACAAATGCCTCTGTTGGTGAAGGATAGGGACGGCTCACCAACCTCAGGCAGCAGGAGCCACAGGAGCGGCAGATCATATTGTAGATCTTTATTCCCCCTTGTTCCTGGTGTTGAGCTTCATTCACTCCTTCTTCCCTGGTGGAGGAAGGCATTTTGTGGTTTGCCTCACATGCGAAAATATCTCAGGCCTGATGAAGGATGAGAACTTTTACTCGTAAGCAGATTGTTCACACATTACAGAAGCAGGGCTATTCATTGTATGTCTCCTTCCTCACAATCTTCATTGAGATTGTTTTCAGAAGTGACTTGAGTACTCACCATACATTAAAAGCACATTTGAAGCACATCCCCTGCAAAAAAAAGAATACTGGGAACTGCAGTTTGTTAAGTGTGCTGGGAATTGCAACCCAATGAGAGATAAACTACATCTCCCAGGATTCTTTGGGAGGTGGGCGGGATAGGCTTTAAATATATGGTGCATAGACAACCATACTTTCTGACAACCATACTTCAGAATGGTTGCCAGTTCCTACATTTGCTAGTGACTTCAGCCTTGCTAAACTAAACTAAACACTAACATTTCCTCATCTAAATATGAGAAACTGCTTTGCAGAGAATTGTGGGTAATTTTAGTACCATTTTGCAGAAAGCGGAACTGGCAGCTCTGAGTGGTGAGGCCTATAGTATATTTCCTTAAGCATCTATAAAAATCACAAGATTCATACTCTGGACATTACTCTCTTCTAGTGTAAAAAGTGACACCTCTAGTGTAAAAAGGAAGAAACATAGAGTTGTCATATTTAAAAAAGTAAAATTCCTGACACTCGCAAAGTTGTTGAGCTTTTGGGGGAAAACCTCCCCCCCCCCATAGTAATTTTAAGCTTTTGGAGCTGGTTCCACTGCTTTTTGGCAAAATTCCTCCCTGACACCATTTTTACACCCCAAACCCAGGACATGTCACATGTTTAGCGTGACTGGGAAGTCATCCAAGAGATACTCCTCTCTCTCTCATAATACTAGAACCCAGGGTTATCCAATGAAGCTGAAAAATGAAAAGTTCAGGAGAGAGAAAAGTAAGTACTTCTTCATGTCACACAGGGGCTTGGGACTTCCAGCCAGTCCATTTCCTCCAAATCATGCCCACCTGCCTCACATCCAACATCATCTGTAACATCAGGTGTGGGGCCAATAGAAGTGCGGCAAAAAGCAGGATTTAACTTGTGGGGAGTTCAATCCTCCTTGGTTTGGGTGTGCAAAGTTCCCTGCAGGGAGCTCTCTTGTGCACCCAAACTCTGAGGAAAGCAGGATTGAACTCCCCAGACATCAGCTGATGCATGAGGAGTTCAATCCTGCTTGGTCTCGGTCTCTTTCTCTCTCTCCTCCCCCCCCCCCCCAGCAGGCCAACTTTTACAGATGAGTGGAACCACTTTCCTGTCAATCATCTGATGAAGGAGATAAAGATCGGGCCCACTTAACCAAAAATGCCCCCATCCCTGGTATAGCACATAGTTAAATTATGCCACAGGAAGTAGTATTGGACATAAACTTGGATGGCTTTAAAGGGGAGGGGTAGATAAGAATCAATGGCTGCTAGTCTTGATAGCTGCATACATTTACCAACAGTATTTGAGGAGAATACTATTGTGCTTATGTCCTGCTTGCAGGCTTTCCCTTGGCATGTGGCTGACCACTATGAGAACAGGGCGCACCCTTATCATGATTATTCTTCTTCATCTTCTGGGGTTATGATGTGACTATGAATATAAATTCAGAGCCTGAACTCTTGCCCTTAATTAGACTCCAGTAACCATCAATCCTTTTTTTCCAGAGATTTCAGACCAGCCGTCCCCTGTACAGATTTCACACAAGGCCTCTCAAAATATGCATTTTGGAATCCTGCAGAGGGGAAGTGGCAGGGAGTCAATTTGGAGGAAATACATGGTGGGTAGAAAAGAGTTAAGCACCTGTTTTCACCACTCCCTCTCCCCATGTCTGCTCATACTGAAGTTGCTTTTACCTGTGCGGGGGGGGGGGCGGGGAATCAATTTGAGCCTTGCTGAAATTACATATCTGCATGGCACTGAGGGCTAGAAACCTTATTTTTAAAAAAAGAAAGATGATCTTCTTAGTTATCCAGTACATCTGTGTGGAAGCATTGTTTGTTAAATACCTTTAATGGCTGTGGGGTGGGAGGGATGGGATAGCATATTCCAAATTATATATCAAGGGGGGGGGTGTAGTTTCCCCCCTCTGTCACCTTGACCCTGATGTCTCACAAGCAAAGACCAGAGACTGACTCTTCCTAGGACAGCAAGTGTGTTTTCCCCACAACTCCCTCCCTCCCCATCAAAGCTGCTCAGGTAAGCAGCAGGTAGACACGGCACCACTGCACAATAATTGTTCTTTAATTGCTTCTCCTCCCTGCTCAGCCGCCGTGCTCCATAATAATTTCTTTTACTCTCTCCTGTCTGAGTGCGTTGAGGGCTGGCTGAAGATGCTCCGGATAAGGCAACCGGTCTCTTGCGCCGTCCAATTGTTGTCTAAACTATCAATCAAGTGTGGCAGCTCGAGGAAATGTGGAGGGGTGGGGTGGGAAGAAGCGTTCTGCTTGCATAAACAGACCCAGTGCTTTGCTACGCTTTCTCTTTCCTCTCTCTCCCCCCCCCCCAAACCCCAACCCTCCACCAGACAAAAAACAAAAAGTGGGGGGAGGGGGAATCTGACAACATGGAGTCCGGCCCATCAATCAAAGCAGCTGGTGGAACAACCTCTCCCTAGTGTTAATAAATACATTTCCCTTCCTTTTATTGGATGCTTGTCCTAATTTGTTTCTCCTCTGGATTTCCTCTCCCCACCCCCCCTTTCCGAAAGTGAAATGCTTGCCCGTTTTTCCCCTCGCTGCCACCCCCGCCAACTCCCAGCAGCCCTTGAGAAAGCAGATGTTAGGCTGCAGAAACAGAGCCAGGCTGAGGCTGGAGTGGCCCAGTAGGCCTCGGTTGCCATAGCGACTACTGAGACCGCCTGTTGTCAGCGTTGTGCCTCGTCTCGCTGGCTCAGTGATTATCTCCATCTCAGCAGCCCTCGCCATACGGTCTGGGCTATAATCAAATCCCCCCTGTTCATCCCCTCCGGAGAGCCGCACACCAACATCTCTGCCTCCCTCATGCCCCCATGATCAGAATGCATATACATAGAGCAAGCATTCATTAGGAGACATTGCTAAGGGCCTCTCTTGAGTTTCCATTTGCAGTTGAAAGGGGCGGGAAGCAAACTGTAGAAGATAAAGCCCATGCATTTAGCCCCGCTTTAACTTCTCGTTTCGTCCAGTTTTGATCCAACAGAATCAAAGTACATGAAAATTGTTTTGCTAGGTCTGTCAGGATCTCTAATTCTGCCTTCTGTTTCCACCACAAGATAGCTGGGTGCCTCTGGTTGCTCATGGCCATGGTAGAAAAACGATGGTCTATTCATGTTGTTTGCCCTTAGCATCTGGTATACAAAGGTAAACTACATCTTTACACAGAGGTTTTGTTTCCTAGCTTTAAAATCAATACTTCATAGAATGTCCAGCACTCAGTTTACTGCTGGTATGGCCTTTAGGGGTGGCCACCTAATGCATCAACACTCCCCTCCCTTAAAAAATAGGGCAAAAGCAGCACCTATTTGCATATGCTAATTCACATGTATTGATGCAAATTTAGAAATAATTGCTATAATTATACTCTATTGATTGGCAACTTTGAGGCCCTTGCTCTCCATTCCTAGTTCTTACATCAGATAGACCTTCAACCAGAGGACTCATGGAAATGGGGAAGAGTTCTCTGATGTCCCTTGAAATAGAGGACTGTGCTGTGTTAAGTAGGGTACATGGCCACCCCCAACCATGGAGGTTCAGCATAAATGTAATTTGGCCCTCAACTCAGAGCCAATTGTGGGGAGGCCAGGACTGGAGGGCCATTTGGCCTGGACCTCAAGCTCCAACGGGCTCACAAATATAGGCACTTTGGGCATTTAATAAGTTTTGCAACTGTCAGACCCTCCAAGTGTTCCTATTTTCCAGGAACAGCCCCGGATTTACAGAAGACATCCCAGTTTCTGATTTGATCCAGAATGTCCCGCTTTTCTTTAGGATGTCTCTGTTTTCGTCAGAGAAATATTGGAGGGTATGAACTGTTTCTATGCATATCAGACCAAAACATAGCACACACTCTCAGCTTAGAGCTGCAAATTTAAGAGAATAAGAGATGTGGTTTGGTAGCAGACATAATTCTCTTTTTGGGGGGACGGGACTGATAGAGATTTTATCATATTAAAGTGTCCAAAATGTTCATTAATGTTCATAAAAATATATTCATTCTGAAGACACAAGATTAGACCATGATGAACGCATCCTCACAGATCAGCTGCTTATGTAAACAAACAGCTGGCTCTTTTTCTGGTGCCTTGTTTTGTTTTTGTATGTAGCCATGTGTCAGGGAACTGACATCGGAGCTAGAGGCGGAGGGAAGGCTCTCAAATGATGCTGGAGAAGGGCCCAGCAGGGAGAGAGGCAGCTCAGCAGATGGGGAAGCAATTCAGCGCAACACCAGGAATAAAGAGGGGCAGATGGGGGAATCGGCGAGAGGGCTCCCAGACTCTTCACCGGACACCAGCGGGGAGAGCACGGGTCCTCCGCTACCCATGCCCTCCCTGCGCAGAAGACTTCCGCGCAGAGAGTAGGAGGAGACTGGGTGTCAAACAACTTTTATGTTGGAAAAGGTTTAAGAAACGCCCACTGACGGATTCTGCTAGTGACTGAGGCAGCCATGAAGTGAAGGGCTGTCCAGACTGAAAGGTTTAACAAGGCAACAAAGCCAGGAGAGGCGGCAACTTACGCACGAGCAACCCATACTCTTTACACCATGTTTATTTTTTTATCGTGGCTACGGGCTCTAAAGTGGCCTAGTCCGCTCTGGACCTCTGATACGGCCTGCCTTAGATAAATGGAGACAAACACTGCAGAATTACTACAAGCGATGCCTGAGTTCTAGACAACTTGGAAGAAACATCCTTCCATCCTGGTGTTGCTTATTAACTGCTGCTGGAAATTACAGACCCTCCATGTATCCCTATTTTCCAGGGATAGTCCCGGATTTACAGAAGCTGTCCCAGTTTCTGATTTGATCCCTTAATGTCCCGCCTTTCCTTAGGACATATCTATTTTCATTGGAGAAATGCTGGAGGGTATGGAGTTATGCAACCCTTGAGCCAAGGAGACAAGTAACTAAACAACCTTTAGAAGACATCTGAAGGCAACCCTTTATAGGGAAGTTGTTTAATGTTTAATGCTTTCTTATGTTTTTATATGTGTTGGAAGTTGCCCAGAGTGGCTGGGGTAACCCAGTCAGGTGGGTGGGGTATGAGTAATAATAATAATAATAATAATAATAATGGCTTTTTTCAGCTGGAACTCACTAGAACTCCGTTCCGGCATCTCAGGTGGGTGCCATTGCCATTATAAGAGAACAAGGGAGGCATTCATGGTAAGTTCTAACACCTCTTTTTCTCGAAAAATAGCACTAATAAGAATAAGAATAATGGAATAGGATGTGCCTATTTTCATTGGAGAAATGTTTGAGGGTATGAAATTAATCAGATTCCTGAATACAGTAAAAGGCTTTCCCTTCATTGTTATTCTCAGGTCCTAAGATACCCTTCTCTGAGAACACATTCTGTTACCCCAAGGTGGCATATAGAATGAAGCCAGGCCGGGCACAGGAAGCTGCTATATTATGTTTTAAGGGGCCTGTCAACATGATGTCCCTATCCATGACAGAAGGAGTAGCCGCACCAAGGCCCCCTTTGGTCTCCCACGGACCTGATGGGCCTTTTGTACAGCCTTTCCAGAGTCCATTGACTGTAGCTCTGTCTTTGTCAGCTTGTCAGACAGAGGTCGAGGAAAGAGTGAAGGACTTGCTCTCAGGGCACAACAGGATAAGATGCAAGGATGAGACGCACATATTGGGTTACAGTGCTGGCAGCAGAAAGGTTCAGCAATGCAGAGATTGCCCTCGGGTTTCTGGCCCCTGCTCCTCTACTGGCTTTGTTCTTCGCATGCTTTTTATATGGGAAGTCTCTTAAGCATTGCTGACAGATGCCTCATTTGAAGTCCCTGCTTAGAGAAGGCCTTTGTGCATCCCACATAAGGAACTTCCAGATAGCAATGACAGAAGGTTTCCCCCATACTCTGTTAATTAAGCACATTTTTCCACTCTAGTTTCTAGAGGGGTACAAGACCCAGTACAGCCCTAGAAATATGCAGTGGTGCAGAAAAAATGGTTGCTGCAAGATGAGTTGACCTAGCATGCCTCGAAGTTCTACAATTTACCATTTATTGTTTTTTAATATTTGTACAGCTTTTGCATGTACAGGCATTCTAGTCTCGTGCGGGGACGCCTATACTGTCCAAGCAGCAACAGTTGGCCAAACTCACAAGCCTTCCATTTTTCTCCTCTCCTAACCATCATAATTCAGTAGCTGAATGTTCTCTACTATATTAGGTCATGGGAACCAAGGCAGTGAAAACCTGAAGGAAGTCAATCCACCCAACTTGCTGCTGTTCTTAATAAACCCCTGAGCAAACTGATAACTGTTTGTTTTTTTAAAAAGGTTGAATCCTTACAGATGAAAAAGAAAGCACTCCGCTAATTTTAAAATTGTCTGTAGAATCAGAATTGGATCCTAAGGGTCATCTAGTACAATCTCCTACAGTGCAGGAGTCACAGCTAAAGAATCTCTGACAGATGGTCATTTAAACTTTGTTTTAAAACTTCCAATGAAGGAGAGTCCAGCACCTTCTGAGGTAGCTTCTTCCACCATCAAACAGCTCTTACCACCAGAAAGTTCTTCCTGTATCTTACATTATTATTGATTACCATTTTCCACCCAGGTTAAGTCTCTCCCCCCACCCCAAGTTACACTACTGGCCTAGTTCTGCAAATTTACTATTTATTTGCTGTATACCACTTTTCTGTTCAGAGAGCATCTGACGGCACCTGCCATCCAAATCAGTAGCCAGTCAAGACTGTGGGTCCCAAAACAGCACAACACCTCCAGTAAGTACAGTGGTACCTCGGGTTAAGTACTTAATTCGTTCCGGAGGTCCGTACTTAACCTGAAACTGTTCTTAACCTGAAGCACCACTTTAGCTAATAGGGCCTCCTGCTGCTGCTGTGCCGCCGGAGCACGGTTTCAGTTCTCATCCTGAAGCAAAGTTCTTAACCTGAAGCACTATTTCTGGGTTAGCAGAGTCTGTAACCTGAAGCGTGTATGTAACCTGAAGCGTATGTAACCCGAGGTACCACTGTAATGGACTTAATAGCATATGCATTGGGAATCTCATGTGAGTGAACAGGCAGAAAGTGTAGCATATTTCATTTCTATCTACAAACTTGAAAACATAAGAAAAGCCCTACTGGATCTGACAAAGGCTGTATCTTGTCCAGAATCATGTTTCTATTGTGTTTGACCAGCCATTTTCAGAAGACCCTTCAGGGTATGAAGCCAACAGCCTTCCCATGTTGTTTGTGTGGTCAAGGCTGGGTTGCTGCAATGCACTCTAAAAACAAAACCATGCCGATAAAATGGTGCCAACCCAAAAGGTGACAGTGGACATGTCCTGAAATAGCTGTGAGTGTCCTCACCCACCTAATGCATCACTGAGCAAATCAACCTCATCAAATAGGCTGAAGACTAGTGCTAAGGCAAACTACACTTGCAGAGATTGTGCTACTGTTTAGAGTTGCCATATTTAAAGAAGTAAGAATCCTGACAAAAAAAGTTGTGGAGCTTTTGGGGGCCACACACTTCCTGGTTCTGTTTGCAAAAACCCAGACATTTTGCTGATTTTTAAACCCCCCCCCCCCCCGATACGAATTTCGCTGTTGCAGTTCTGGAAATGTCTGGGAAAGACTACTACTGGTACATTTTTAAAACATGATTATATTAAAATTGATATATTATGCAGTTTGAAAAGAGACAGAAGAACTATGGGAGAACCAAGATTAGATGACAGCATCAGATAGGTTCCCCTATCATTGACACATAATTGGTTGGGGTTTCTTTGCATAACAGCGTCTAAGCTGAGTCATTGCAGAAAAGGAACAATTTGCCTGAGCAATCAGAACTTGGCATTTCAACAGTGGCACCTGCTGAGATCCTCCACCATTCTTAACTTGCCCCAGTTTTTAACAAAGAGATGGTAATTTTTAAAAACAACAGCCGCAACCACATCCCCCTACAATCATGTAGTTTACTAGATGACATTTTTTATATTTGAATCTGCGTGGGTCTTGGGAATATCTATATATATTTGGTATCACTGTACAACACAGTTGCCAACTTATTTTAGGCAGCCCCTTCTCTGGTCTCTTTAGCAACTGCCATTGCATGACACTGTTTATCTCCGTTCATTGAAAATGTTCACTGGCTGGTTTCTGGAGATCAAGTTGCTGTTAAAAGCACAAGCGCAAGACCAAATCTACCACCACCCACTGGCCAGTTCATCCTACTGCAAGATACCCAGCAATATGTGTTTATAATAAGACCCATTATTATTAATCGTCCTGCTGCAGTATGATTACATTTTTAAAAAATTGTTGTTCTTAAAAATCCCTTTTTCTCCACCTTTTGTTTTGACAAAGCTGGCAGTAGGTATGGGCACATCTGTCAGTTTGGGTTATCTCCGTTTCTCATTGTGCAAATCTTCAGTTCTCTACATTGTCTCAGCAATCTGCACTTTTAGAAAAATCCTTGTGAAAAATTCATCAGCATTTTAGTGTGAATTTCTCCTAATGTAAACATGTTTGTATGCAGTTTGGGCCAATGCACAGAGTTTTGCAAGCAGTTATCCCTAATATAATGCATAATTGTATGCTGCTTTCAGGAGTATATGTGTTTGTAAGCTCACTGTCTTCTAAAATGTGGATTTTGTACACATTATTTGGCTGGAGAACCCCATTGCAACATCTGCAGAAGTCTGAGTTTCAAAGGAGAGTTGTGTTTTGGTCTGTGCATTGGTTCAAGAAGTGTGAATTGGATAACTTATCATTAAACTGGACACAGAATCAAATCCCCCACAATCACCATCCTTGGCTGCCAGGGCCTGTTACTAGGCTCTTTCACAGGTCCCATTCATTTCTATCAGAATTGCACAGGAGAACTTTCCAGCAGATGTCCAACTAGATGTGTCATAATTGTGCAAAGTGCTTCCCCGCCTTTTTCGTTTAAAGTAAATAGCAGCCACAAAGAGCCCCGTCCCACACTGGAAATGTAGTGGATTTAACCCTTTGCTCCTGTCATGATCTGAATCCAAATCCCCCACCCCCTTTGCAGATACTAAAGTTCCAAAGAGAATATTGGGAGAGAAGCTCCTTTTCATTGTGAGTGTTTTGTAAGTGTTTTGGGGGTAGGGAAGCTCAGTCCAAAAGCAGCTGTCTTCGAGCGCCCTCTCCTGGTGAAAACCATCAAACTCCTGGAGTTGCGGCTGCATTTTATCCCCCAGCCCACCCATTGGGGAAACACTAAACTTGGAATATAAACCAGGACTCCGCTCTGGAATATGTGGATTTAAATGGAAGAAGAAGGTGCTATTAAACGGCTGTAGATGTGGCTGTCAATTTGTCCCTGGCCCGGCCCTCCTCCTCAACTTTAGCAGGCAGACCTATTTCCCACCTCTTGCCAGTCAAAACTTCCCTTGTGTAATTTCTGTATGACAGTCTACTGTTAAGGGAAAGGCTAGGAACACAGCCGGGGGTCGGGGGGGGGAATGGGGCAACCCTATATGCAGAATCCAGCTGAAAGCAGAGCACAGCTCTTTTGATGCAACTGGAAGTCGTTTGCGTTGTGTAGGTTGCCGATTTGGCACATATGACTTCTGAGTCCCCTTGCTCTGCTGTAATTAGGTCTGTAAGAAGCATTCTTTTGTAAGCACTAGAATAGGTTGCTTTGCGTGTTTGGTTGTGTGGGGAGGTGTCGAGCCTGCAGACCCAAAAAAGCTAGCAACTCTCACCTCACTTTTCCATCTGCTGAGAAGGTTTTCCTATTGTTTCAAAAATGTGCTGAACCTGTTTGATCAGAGGTGACAATGGGAACGAAGAAATGTCTTTCTCACACCATTGGAAGTTAAAGAAATTATCTTAAGCTGAAGTTAGACAATAGTTTTAAAGGAAGTTGAAAGTGGTTTGAGACACATTTCACTTACTGTTCCCTTTGATCAATCAGGTTTAGGTTTTTGAAATACAAAAACCTGCCAAACCTCTTTACTGGAGGCAGAAGGGGAGTGAATGTACACAGCACAAGTAGCACCTTTCAAGATTTCATTGATGCTCTAAAAATGAACAAACCTTGTCTTAATCAGCAATCATCACGATCACCATCTTTTATATAGATGTTGAAGTGCTCAAAGTCCTTCACGCAATGCAACTGATGTCTACGTCTCGGTAATTAGGGTTAAAAGCTCCGAGCAGGCCCAGTTATCAGTACTTCTTACAGTGTTAAACTAACCTTCAGTTTCATGTGGACTGAGGGAAATACCTTATCCCTTGCTTTGCGCAGACCTAGAATAGCAGATCTGACTGCAGAAACCTGTTTCTGCAAAAGTTTTCTGGGTTTTCAGGATTGGAGTGTGCATTTTAACAATGACTGGGAAACAAAAGAGATTTTGAGTGGTAGGGGGAAATCCATAGGAAGAGATCACTGGGGATGAGAACTGGTGAAGGCTAATTTGCTTTGCACAGATATAGGAGACAAGAAGGGGGCAAGAGGGCACCCCTCCCCCCGTATTCTTTGGAGAACTCAGTCCACTGATATAATACCATTTATGTTTCTTCATCTTGTGAACAAGCATTTGAAATTGGGGAAAGGGAGGAAGGGGATCCCACTGATGAGGCTCTTGGTTTCCTCAAGGGACTGAACTGCTTAATTAATCATAAAGTCCTCCTTCAGCAGGAGCAGCCCAGCTGTGATGCTAGCCAATCCTTGAGAAGGCCATCCATCACTGTCAATACCAAGGACCAATCCGTGAGAAGGTGCCCTGTTGACTGTCAGCCAATGGCATAGGCTTGTGTTCCGGATAGAA